ACACAGACACACACAAGCTACGACACACACACACAAGCTAGAACACGCGCGCGCGCGCACACGCGCACACGCGCACACACACACACACACACACACACACACACACACACCTACCTACCTCCTGGTTAACTGCCATCAGAGTGTGAATCAATCTCCGCTCTGCAGCAGAAACACGCCTTCGTCCGGAAAGGATGTGAAGAGAAGCATGATGGGAGTGAACGCTGAGGTGTGTGTGTGTGTGTGTGTGTGTGTGTGTGTGACAGCAGGAAGATGGATGAGTCAGTCATGTCTGATTCCTCTGAACTTTGGGTCTAATCTCTGGTTTTGGCATCAAAACCTTTAGGTTTCTCACAGCACACATTCTGTGGTACTCTGTGAAGTACTCTGTCGTACCTTCTAGTATACTGCAGTACTACATAGTAGTCGTGGTTTAACCAAACATTAGAACTTTCTGACCAACCTGACTTTAGTCACCGGTTCAGTTCATTTAGTCTCGTAACCTTCAAACAGCTCGTCTCGTTCTTTTATTCTGAAAAATCAGTAAAATAAATGTTTAATCTGAAACTCTCTTTCTTTCTTTTCAAACAACAACATAATGACATATTTAAATTATGCAACACGATATTATTATTATTGTATTAAATATAGATTAGAGAGCAGACTGATTTTTAAAACACTGTACAGCTCTTTTCATGTCAAAACAAATACTTCGTGTTGATTCTTTGGAAATTTCCACTTCACATTTATGACTTTTGCAGTATTTGTTCTTCGTTATGAACTAAAACTTTGAGGCAGATTCTTCTGATTCTTGTTGTCAGTTTCTCTTCTGTTAAATATTCTTCTAAATATTCTCAAATGATGTGGCGTTCAGGGGCCGTGGGGAAAGACAGAATTCGTTGGTGGTTGACATCTCGTCTCTGAACTTCAGCTTCAATTGTTTCTGTATTTCATTTTTTGTGTGAAAACTTTTAGACGCAGATTGAAAAACGTTAATAATAAAACTCAAAATAAAACCAGATTTATAACGAGGTTTAACAGCCGTATTTAATACTCACACACTCTTTAATTAGTTTAATTATCCGAGTTACTTACTGAGTATTTTATTTATTTGTGGTCTGAACAAATTCTATGAAAAGCAGCCGGAAAAAATGTTGAAATGTGAAATTAAACATTTTAAATTATAAAAAGAGTCAGAAATCTGAATAATGTTTATTATTTCTATGTGACGCCGAACATTTAAAAAACACATTTATGCTACATCTTCTGGTATCGACGAGTCAAACAAATGTAACACTAAACTTCACAAAGTGCAACTGAATATTATCTCCCTGGCTTTCCACAAAACATCTTAAAATATGAGTTATTAAAATGAATAAGTTAATAATCTAAAAGTCTCTTTGCTTTGGTAGAGAATCCAGTTCTTGTTCTTCACTTCCAGATTAAACTAAAGTGAAGCAGAGCTGCAGTAAACAGATCAGTGAGAGATCAACACACACACACAAAGCATGATGTACTTAACAGGTATCAGTGTTTTATTCTGTAGGATTTTAGATGTTAATAGTAGAGTTTACATCTAAAGTACTGGAGCATGTTTTATTTCCTATAATTCAATAATCGACAAACATTTCTTGAGTCTTTACTTGTTTTTTATGTTGTTTTTCTTGCTGAATGACTTGTTTTTAAGAAGCTTCTGTGCACGTCTGCTAAAAACAAGATTCAAACTTCTGCTTCTGTGTGATTCTTTGAGGAGGAACTCAGATTACAGAGTTTCTTTGTTGATGTTTTGTGTGTAAAAAGTATTTCCCTCTGAAATGTAGTGAAGTTAAGTATAAAGTTGCATGAAGAACCTCCCTCCCCCTGGTGTATGGTGCATCACAAACCAAGCGCTCCCTCGGTCACCTCACTCACACACACACCAGCATCATGTTGGTGAGTTACCTCACGTTGCTCATCGCAGCGATAATGTCGCAAAAAAACTTCCTGCATGCAGATCATGAACTCCTCTGGTCCGGTTCAGAAGACCCCCTCTGGGTCGGGAACCACGGGACCAAAACCAGGTCCCTGTTCATAAAGAGGTTCAGAGCAGCTACAACAGGAAGTGATGCGTCACTATTAACTAATATTAATGAGTCACAGGAGACAATGTGTATAATGTACACAGGAATACTGATATTCTGTGTATTTACTTACTTTATAATGCACATGTTTTTTGTGTTTGGTGAAAAGTTTCCTTCATTGAAAGAGTTTGTTTGTTTCGTTTCTCATCAGGTCACGCCGTGCGTTCACAAACTAAGCTCCTCTCGGGGAAATCGTGTCTTTAATCTACGGAGTTAATGAGTTTCTGTTATAATCAATAGATGATTATCAGCACAACCGACTTCAGACTTTCTCTGAGACTCAGAAGGAAGAGCAGCAAAACTGAGTCCAGAAAGAGACCAAAATCACAGCAGATTAAAGCAAAAATGAATATCATATCAGCAAATTAACATTGTCTTCTTCTGTCTGACTCCTCCCCACTGGCGCATGCTGGGTTTTAAACCAAGCACTCCCCTTTTTGAAGCAGCCGAGCCTCAAAATCTTTTGCATTTCTCTGCTCAACTTTATGCAAACCAGAAAACGATTTCATACAGACACAAAAACCTTAACACCACCCCTCTCACCGGGCGTGGAATTCATCACAAACCAAGCGCCCCCTCTTAGCCTCTTGTCTCCACCTGCCCGCCACAAGAACACAGCAGACTGGAGCTCCAGACGTCATCTGTTCCACAGCAGCTGCACCCCCCCCCCCCCCCCCCGCTGTGTGATGAATCACAAACCAAGCGCTCCTTTTATTCTTTTTTAAATTCCGTTCCTGCAGCAGAAGATTATTCAAAACAACCAGCAGCTGCATAAATCTGCTGATCCCCATCCAGCTACCTCCACCTTCCTCACAGGCGTGCAAGAAGTCTCAAACCAAGCGCTCACATGGACCTGACAGCTGAGCATGCAGCTCGCTCGCTCACATGCTCACACACACACACACACACACACACAACAAAACAATGCAAAAACCTCCTGGCCGGGCCTGTTACACTCCATAAATCAAGCGCTCCCTTACCCTTGGGGCAGCTGACCGTGCAGCCTACGGATTACCTGCGTGTGTGTGCGTGTGTGTGTGTGTGTTAACCTCCCCACTATCTACTCCCTTCCAGGTCTGCTGTGGATCATAAATGAAGCACGCCCTTCTGACTCACCTACGGCTGATCACCCCCCCCCGGCTCTGTTTCACACCACAAACCAAGCGCTCCCCTTCTCTCCTCTGTGGCAGCTGAACAAACTAGCCCTCTGGCATTGTCATGCTTCACAAACCAAGTGCTCCCTTTACCTTTCAAGTTCAAACTTTCAGACCAACCCTCCCCCTCAAAGCCCCACTAACCAAGCGCTCCCTTCATCATCTGGAGCTGCTGTCCCTCCAGTTATCAGTCAGAAGTTTAAGCTGTAACATCTCCCCTCTCTCTTTAGCTGGCTTGTAGGGCATTAAAAACAAGCACTCCCTTGATTACCTCATAACCCAGAGCTTCCTCTTCAAATCTACATCCTCTTTTTAACTGCAAAATCAAACTAACCCCTTCTCCATCTAGACCCTCTCCCGTACTAGGCATGTAAGTCCATCACAAAACAAGCGCTCCCTTGATTAACTCATGTGTGTGAGCAACTATTCGCACCTTCATTTATCCTTTTCTGCAACAAAACTCAAACAAACCCCGTCTCTCCGTCCTCCCTCGTCTATGCATGCACTGCATCACAAACCAAGTGCTCCCTTCATTACCCCAGAACCTGGAGCTTCATGCACATAAATCATGACGCTGCTGTATGTCTGCAACAAAATCAAACCAACCCCTCCCCATCTCCCCCTTCTTGACTTGCCCCCCCCCCCCCTCAGCTGTCATGTGGGGCAAACCAAGCGCTCCCTTCATTACTTCAGGGGCTTCACATAGACAGGCCTCTAGTGTGTTTTACCCTGGAGCTGCAACAAAGTAAACAAACCCCTCCTCTCTCCCCTCCTTTAGACCCCGAGCTGGCATGTGGTGCATCACAAACCAAGCGCTCCCCTCATTAAGTGGAGGTTCCCCTGTAAATGAACAGGAACATTTACAGAAGGCACAAAGTGGAGTTTGTTTTTTTGTTTTTTTAAACTGCAACACTTCAAATGAAACAAAATCAAACCAACCCCTCCAACAAGACCCCCCTCCCCCCCTCTTGCATGTGATACATCACAAATCAAGCGCTCCCTTAATTACCTCTCTGCTGGAGCTTCACAACAAGCATCTTGTGTTTTTTTGTCCTGCAACAAAATCACAACCTTCATCTCTCCTCTTCTAAACAGGCATGTGAGGCACAACAAACCAAGCGCTCCCCATGATTACCTCATGAAGTGGAGCTTCCCTTCTCAGGCAGAGCAGCATTTTTTATTTTATCCAAAAGCACAAAGTGGAATCAAACCAACCCCTCCAGCTAGACCCTCTCCTCTCAGCTGTGGTGCATCACAAATCAAGCGCTCCCTCCAACACCTCACTGCTGGAGCTTCACATTAACAAGCATCTTGTGTTTTTTTTCTTCTTCTCTGCAACAAAAATCAGCAAACCTCCCCAATCTCCTTCATGTCTCCCCTTATCTTGCATGCAAAGCATCACAAAATCAAGCGCTCCCTCCTCTACATTAACACAGGAGCTCTCCCTCCAGCATCACTTGTTATTTCTGCAACAAATCAAACCAAGCACCCCCCCTCCTCCCATTCATGCAGACACCTCTCTCCTCTCAGCTGGCACGTGATGCATCACAAACCGAGCGCTCCCTTCACCTCCAGACCGTCACAATCAACATCAACACAACACGTCTTTATTCTCTGCAACATCCAAAAACACAACACGCGGAGCTGCAGCAGAAACCAAGCGGAGCTCTTTCTCTCTGACACACACACACACACACACACACACACACACACACACACCGGGTCTTACCTCTGGAGCTGCTGAAGGCGGTGTACCAGGACACGGAGACCAGCCCGCACAGCCCGAACAACAAGACCGTCAGGAAGGAGACATTTCGGAGCCTCATCTCCGGAGCATGTCCGCACCGAGAAGGGGGGAGGAGAGGGACTGACGGAGGGAGGGTATGAGGGAGAGGGGAGGAGGGGGGGAGGAAAGGAGGCAGGTAGAGAGAGAGACAAGAGAGAGAGGCGGTGAAAGACGGAGAGAGAGAGAGAGAGAGAGGAGAGCGGAGCTGTTACCGTCTGAGCAGCAGCAGCTACACTGAAAAGAGAGAGAGAGAAAGAGGGGAGGGGACAGAAACAGGTAGAGAGACATGGGAGAGAGAGAGAGAGAGACATGGGAGAGAGAGAGAGAGAGACAGAGTGACAGAGAGCTTAAAATAAACATAAATAAAATAATCTTTATATGAGACATAAAAGCAGATTAGACACAAATATGATGCAAATCTAATGGAGACAAAAGTCATTAACAATAAAATAAATGAAAGATTATTGCACTTTATCATTTTTAATTAAAGTGAAGTTATTATCTTGTGTATGAAAAGTGCGTTTGATTTGTTTACAGGGTGTGAAATAAATAATCACATTTCACGTCTGATTGGCTATTAGCTAAGCCCCGCCCCCTCCCACATTAGTTATTAAATGAGAACTCTGGCTGATTGCTGTGGAAAAAAACCGCAGCGACAAATAATTTCACCGTAAAATAATTGTAAAAAACTGGCAACAGAGACAGCAGTAATTAACCGTTAATTTACATGCGACGGATGAATGTTTAACTGTATGTTACAGTTATTATGAAATACTGTAAGATTAAATTTACAGCAGTTCACTACAGTGTGGATGATAAAACACCTATGAGCTGTAAAGTCTGTGTCGTCGTCGGCGTAATAACATCCACCAGCTATCGGCAACTAGCTAGTTGCACGAATTAATGTACTTTGGTCACATTAATAAATAAATAAGTTAATAAATAAATAAGTTAATACTTTTGATAATATGCATATTTATAATATTTTGTCATTGTTCAACACTTCGGTAATAGCATTAAATATATGACGATAGAATGGAAATTATTTTGTTTTCTAATTTTCTACTTCACTTTTAGGCAGATATTTTACTCCGATAATTTAGGAAGTCTCCTTCGTTCCAAAATGGCGGAAGGCTGCAATTAAAAGACCAATTAGCTTTCACTTCTTATCAGTGTTCAGAGTTCTTTAGTGTTTCTGGCGATGCTCATTTCATAAAACAGCGACGGACATAAATTTGAGGAGACAACGTTGTCGTTTCCCAAACGCTCCGTTTTTACGTTTACGCGGATTCACCGTGACCAGAGTTTTGAAAAATCTCCATTTTTAGTGACTAAAAACTCTGTTAGCATGCAGACGAGCCGCCAAAACATGGAGGAAAATATCAGTTTTCAAAAATCTCTATATATGGGAAAAGCTTTTACAACTGTCAGATGAATGAAGTGCAGTAAAATATACTCCAAACTCTAGTAGTCAAATCATAAGTTAGCTTTAAATGGAAATACTCAAGTATCGTTCAAGTACGACACAATTACACTTAGTGACTTGAGAAAAGGGAAAAATGAGAACTGTGTAAAGGCTCTTACAAACACGCTAACAGGCTAAAGCTAACACTTTTCAGATAAACATGGCTCTTGTGTTGTTTTATTATGCTAGTTAGCCGTAGCTTTATAATATACTTTATAATACAAACAGGCTAAAGCTAAAAGCTAATGCTTTTCAGATAAACATGGCTCCTGTGCTGTTTTATTAAGCTAGTTAGTCGTAGCTTTATAATATACTTTATAATACAAACAGGCTAAAGCTAAAAGCTAAAGCTAAAAGCTAATGCTTTTCAGATAAACATGGCTCCTGTGCTGTTTTATTAAGCTAGTTAGTCGTAGCTTTATAATATACTTTATAATACAAACAGGCTAAAGCTAAAAGCTAATGCTTTTCAGATAAACATGGCTCCTGTGCTGTTTAATTAAGCTAGTTAGTCGTAGTTTTATAATACAGTATCATGAGGAAAATATAGAAGCTAACATTTGGAAAATAACCATCAGGAAAAGAACATACATTACTTTAGTTTATATTGTCAGAAAACATGTTTCACACTTAAAATACAAATGCTAATGACATGCTAACTCTTCCCCTTGGAAGTGATGCTAATGTGACAGCACGCTAGTTAGCTGGACATGCTAACATTAGCCAAACACTGTTTAATTAGTTCACAGCTGGTTTTGGTATGAAAACCATCCAAACAGGATTTATTATACATATTTTTATAAATTAATAATGAACAATTGTGTTGAATTCTTTACTAAATAATTAGCCGACATATTGTGTTACTGTTTGTAACATTGACACAGACTCACCTCTTCCTGTTTTTTACCTGGTTCAGAGCTCCTGGATCGAACCATTGTCACAAAGGGAGGGGGGGCAGCAATACAAGTTGTTTGTGTGATTAAATTAATGGATGTGTCTTGTATAACTCTTTGTTGGAATCTTTATGTTATAGAGAATTATTATTTGAATATTGTCTTTTTTTTGTGTGTTAGTTTTATGTGAATATTTATTTAACTCTACGGTTTTGTTCCCACCAACATGGTATCGTCCAGCTAATTACCCGCAGAAGAATGAATAACGCACCTCTGGTTTGTCTGCTGTTAGAGGTTGTTGCCGTTTTATGTATAGAAGCCAATTAGTGCGTTTACATCTTCATCTCATTCTGCATCAATCCTCCAGTAACCACTTTACTCTGTAATTGTTTTTTAAAACTTTAATCAAGAGAACAGCTGTTTTTATTCGTTTTTCTTAATTGATTGTAATTTAATTTCTTCTTCTCCCACTGTTGATGTTGACTGTGATTAAAAAGAAATAAAGAATAGGATTAATAACTAAAGATTTTCCACACTTTCATTTACTAAATTCAATAATCTTTCATGGTGTTTGAACTGAAGATGAATAAAGGTTAGAGTTTAATTATTTTTTTGTAGAGAATCCGGATGTGTTGAACGCAGCCTGCAGCTCCACCTGGTGGTCAGGATAAAAACATAAAGTGTGAAGTTTAATGCAAAGTTACAGGTCAAACAAACAGAAACGTAAAGACAGTTTTCTTCAGTATTTAATAAAACTCCTGACCTGCAGAGAAGTCACAGAACAAATCTACCAGATAAAGTAGATAAGACGTGTTGCTGCTCTACAGAGGCGTTTGTTTTCTACACATCTTACCCACTTTGTTGCTTTCTCCTCATCCTTAACTGGATGTCTCGTTCTATCGAACTGGAGCTCTGCTTGGTTGAGGAGGTAATGGTTAATTTTAAATTGGAAAAGCTCAGATTTACTTCTCACACTGATAAAAAAATACATTAATAGAAGACAAACATTGTTTACTGGGATGTGTTGAACAGCTGCTGTTACTGTTCTTATGACTTCAGTAGATCAGAGATTTTTCTCCATTCAAAGAATGAGTTTATAATTCACATATTCAATTTATATTCCCTGATTTGGTCCAATGTAACCGACAACACTCATTACACGGGAAATAAAACATGTAGGTTACATGAAATACGTCTTGTATCTTGAAAAACTGCCAAATTTCTAGTGTTTTGAACAAATGGCGATTAAATTCAAACTGGAATTTTTAATGTAAAGAAACCAATTTATTTTTTTTGTTGTAAATGTCATTTTTTTGTATCTGCTCATATTTTTCTTCAGTACAGGGCACAAAGTATGGCAACCATTCCTGGACTACTAAAATTATATTTTTTTATTTCATTTCATTTCATACAGAGGTGTCACTTTCTGCATTGTAGAGCGAGAGATCATATGTGAGAAAGATAATGATTTGGTACTTGTATACCAACACAATTATAGATTATAAAATCATTTAAATTAAATATTTGACAGTTATAAATGAGTAAGCTTAAGGAGGTAAATAAGAATGTTAAGGTTAATATCTTTAATGTCTTAAAGAAGCAGTTTCACTGTGGCTAAGTGGAGAGCAGGTCCGTCCTTCAATCAGAGGGCTCCCGTAGCTAAGCCTACAGTGATGGAATCTGAATCGTCAGTCGCTTTGGATAAAAGCGTCTGCTAAATGACTAATGTAATGTCCCACACTGACATCTAGTGGTCATGAACAGAAGGTACAACACTAACATTATTTATTTTATTAATACAACCACCGTTATAATGACGTTGACTCAGCACTCTGAGGATATGATTTATTAATACATAAAATACCTTATCCATCGTTTATTAGGTTATTTAAACCTCAGAGCACGAATGTGAAGTTTTATAAGAGCCGATATCTACTCTGAACTTAAGCCTTTATGTCTCGTGCAGCAGAATAAAGGGACAGTTCACTCTGAAATCAACATATATTTACGCTTCTGGTAACAACTTCCGTTTCCGATAAGACAAACTTCTCAAAAGTCTCTCCAGCTGTTAAAGCCGACTGACAGCTGATCCAGCTGTGATCATCAGCCACCGTCATCAGAAACAGACGTCACTTCACGTGAGGCAACTGAGGAAAGGACGTCTCATGTCCAACATATTTCCTCTCTCCTTGCATGGTTTCCTCCATGCATCCCTGGTGGGAGGGACTAAGACGCAAGGAAAGGACCCAAGTGAGGGAAACGGGGATGCAATGATGGTCAAATCCCAATGTCCCCCCTAAACCCTCAAGGACTTACTGACGTCACCTGGTAAGTGGGTGAGTGTGAGAGACTGTGAGGGCTTGAGATGGTGTAAATATGAATGGGACAGTACTTTGCTGCAACATATCACGTTACCATGAAAATGACAAGAAATATGATGTATAACTGTGGGTATTTTATACTTTGTACTCCTTGATTTTAATGTCTTCCAGGCTAAATCAGCATACCATGCTGACTTACGGAAAGGGTGCATAAAGGGCTCAAAATGTCTGCAAGAGAGCCTCAAACATTTGACGATTTGACAGTGGGACAGCCCTAAACCCTCAAGGACTTCGCGGGAGCGCACCTCAAAGCCCGTGAGTCCGTAAGGGGTACATTGGGATTTGGCCTAAGAGACTTGGGATGTACCCTTGGAGGAGCAGTGCTCGCGCTAGCGCTGGCCTGTAGAGACTCGTCCGGACGGGAATGCGCAACTGAATCTGTTTGAGGACACCGATTGGCTAAATTGTATGTCACACATTTATATCTTTAACCAGCAATGTGGTAGATGTAGTAATAGATGAATATTAATGTTGAAGTGTGGTGATAGAAGTGTAGTAATGGCATAAATAAATAAATAAGGAGAAAATATAATAGTTGTAGAATCATCAGCAGCAGCTCTTATAGTAATGGTAGTACGAGTATCACATGTAGCAGAAGCAGTAAAAGTATTCGTAGGTTAAAGTATCAAGTTGGGCTGGGCAATAATAATAAAACAATATCTTAATATTAGTAGTAAAGCAGTAGCTCTAGCAGCAGTATTGGTTGTATCAGTAGAAGTACAGTCGTCAAAGCCATAAGATCAGGAGTTGATGGCAATATCGACGCTACCGTGACGACGTGTTCTCTGCCGTCAGTTCGCCATCGTGTTCAAGACTCCGAAGTATCGCATATTACTGGATGATTCCATATTTCAAAAACACAAATATTGACAATTTGTATAGTTTATTATTTATTTTGTTTTATTTGTTGTGGCTCAAGGTGGGGCGCCGCCCTAGCGCCCTCTATTGACCAGCCGCCACTGATTTTGAGACATTTGAGACCGAGTGAGTACTTTTACTATTTCAGTACTTTTACTCAAGTAGAATTTACACGGTGGTATTACCACTATAAAAGTATTTCTTCCAACACTGGAAGTATGTGTGATGGAAGATCATGTACACTAGAAAAACTGACAATAACAGATATAACAATGAAGAAATTAAAGAGCAGAAATTGGCTTAAAAAACATCTAAAATTTGTTAAATGTTTCCGATTGTTGTTCATCAAACAAGTAAAAATAAATGTCATCACATATGTTATCACATATGAGAGCGTCATACTTGTAACGGGTTGTATATGGACCCAAATGCAACACACAGGATTCCAGAGATCTTTGGCTTTTATTACTAACTTCAAATACAGCAGGCAGAGTTCAAACAGGGTCAGGATCAGAAGGCTGGTGGGTTTACCGGGAGTCAGGCAAGGCGGGTAGAACAGGAGATCAGTCCGTGAGAGTGTGCTGGAGAGTCTGACATAGAACCGAAGAACAATCTGGCAAATGTGTCTGGGAGGCAGGAGTCTATAGAGGGGCTGATTACTGACCAGAGGCAGGTGAGTGAACAGGTGAAGGGAGTTAGACTGATGAGGAGGGAGTGACTGACAAGTAGAGTGAGGAGGGTGTGGAGCTGAACTGTGACACTACTATTATATGTTATATCTGTACTATTTATATATTATGTTATATTAGTAACTTTCAACCTCCTCACATCTCAAACTATATTATTATTCACCACATCAACTAAATTATATTTATATTTCACTGACTTTTACATTTTAAAGTTCCATTATTTAATCGTATCATCAGTGTGATGTCACTCTCATGTACCATGCTCTTGTATAATTATCTATTTTTTAGCTTTTTATATTTGTTATTACGATTATTGTTAATATTATTATTATTAATAGCATTGGTATCATTATTAATATATTATTTATATCATTCAAATAATTATTTCTTCCTGTTATTATTGTTAACATTATTTACATGTCCTCAGAGAATCTTAAAACAACACAAAGAGACAAAGTGAGGAAGGAAGTGAGTAAAGGAAACGAGGAAGGAAATACACAAAGAAAAGAGGAAGGATATGTGACGGAATAAAAAAGGTTGTTTATGAATCATTCATTCATTTAATGAGATTCAGAGGACCCTCAGTGGTGAGGAAGAGAAGAAGGGAATAAAGGAAGGAGACGAGGAGACGAGGAGATGGGATGAAGGGGAGGGAGGAGGAGGAGTAAATCAGTGTTGGAGAGTCTCTGACGCGGAAGAAGAATCAGCCCTCTGAGAAGGAAGAAGAAGAAGGAACCCCAAAATGAAAGCACCCCCCCCCCCCCCCCCCCCCCCCCCCCCCCTCTTCACACTTGTTGAATAACATTTAATCTCTAAAAGCTGCAGCGGATGTTTTTGGACGTTTCCTCTCCCGGTGCCTCGCGTCTTTTCTCCCCGGTGTCCGTACGCGCGGGTTTCACCGCTGCATGAGAAAAATAACATCCCACTTCAGAGACACAACATCCAGCTTCTTACCGGGATCGATATAGTTCATCTCTTATTCATTCGGCTTTCCTTTTAAGCGGAGAGAGCTCCGGAAGCGCCCCGAGCACGTTCGCCCTCTCCACCGGGGTTTGTTTGCGGCGCCGCTGGGTGGCACCGCTGTCTCCGGGCGGAGCGACTCTGATCTCCGGCATGGTGGACGTCGGCGCGACGTCGAAAAAGGTTTTGAAAACCGCTCCATCATCATTACTGCATCTCCTGGAACTCTGTGTTTCACATGATTAATATTTCAGAGTAGAGCTCCGGCCTGAGAGACAGAGAGAGAGAGAGAGAGAGAGAGAGAGAGAGAGAGAGAGAGAGGCCGGGGAGCTCCGGGTTGACACGCCGACCGCAGCGCACTCTCCGCCGGGCAGCACCGCTGGGTGGCACCGCTGGGTCCAGCAGCCGGTGGTGGAGATGGTGGTGTTGGAGAACTAATCTCGTTTGAATTGCAAAATCGTGACCCGGTTGCCTACTCTGTATTTTTAGGACCTGGATTGGATTAGCTTCTGAGACAGGGGGAGCTTCGGGACAAACAGGCCGAGGACGGCGCGCTGTCGCCGGGTTGGGGGATGTCGCGCTGGCGGGACATTTTATAGAGATCCAGGTTTTTCTTTTTTTTCCCTGCACAACAGAAACCCCCAATTATTGTGTTTTTGTGTGTGTGTGTGTGTGAGAGGACATGGCGGACTCCGGCAGGGACATATCGCCGTACCCGGACTCCGCGGACTGCCAGACACCGAGCCCCCTGGCCGGGAAGAAGAGGGCGCAGCAGTCCCCCGGTCTCCGGAACAAGTACCGGAGCTCCGCACCGGGCCACTGCCTAAAGAGGGTGACCCTGACCAAACCCACCTACTGCCACAGCTGCAGCGACTTCATCTGGGGGCTCGTGGGCTTCCTGTGTGAAGGTACGACTACATTAAACATGTGTGTTTATTTATAGTAAATCATGACTTATTTATAGTAAAAACTTGAATTCGTGCCCACATAAGAGCACACTTAGTGGGAATTGAACCACCGAGCCTGGCTGGTTGTTACTGCAGCCTGTGGAGCTTCAGGTGACTCTGGACCAGGTGTGTTTGGGGGTCTCCTTCCTGTCAGGTGACGTATGTTGACAGTGTAGTGACCGAGTGGACAGATTTAACCTCCGATCTGGAGCTGGGTGTGAGACCAGATCCCAGACTGGATCCAAGACTGGGATCACAGACTGGGATCACTGGATCACAGACTAGGTCACAGACTGGATCACAGACTAGATCACAGGCTCGGATCACAAACTGGATCACAGACTAGATCACAGACTAGATCACAGACTGGGATCACAGACTGGGATCGAAGACTGGGATCGAAGACTGGGATCGGAGACTGGGATCGGAGACTGGGATCGGAGACTGGGATCGGAGACTGGGATCGGAGACTGGGATCACAGCCTGGATCACAGCCTGGAATCACAGACTATATCACAGACTGGATCACAGACTAGATCACATATTAGATCACAGGGATCAGGCTCAGTTGAAACTTGTTTTGGGTCATTGAACTAAAAGTGTTATCATCTTCTGCAGCAAAAATGAGAAACCAGGAACTCATCCTTTTTTCATTCCTCCTCCTCTTCCTCTATTCTTGTCCCTTCCTATTGTTCTCTCATTTCCTAATGTCTGTTTCCTTTACTTCTCTACTCTTTCCTTTCTTTCTTTTTTCCTTTTTCTTTAATTTCATCTCCTTTCCTTTGCCCTTATTCTCTTTCCTTTCTTAGTCGTTCCTTTCCTCCCTTTTCCTTTTCTTTACTTTCATCTCCTTTTCTCCTCTTTCATTCCTTCCTTTCCCCTTCTTTCCTTTCCTCCCTTTTCCATTTCCTGTTTTCCTTTCCTTTCCTTCCCCTCTTTTCTTTCCATCTCACAAAGCCACGACCTAATCATGAATTCAACAGGCGAACTGAAGAGCAGATCCAAGACAACCTCCTCCAAAACACACACACACACACACACACACACACACACACACTCCACTCTGCCCAGTAACACACTGGTTGTCCACCATCAGAGCTGCAGTCAAGTCGTGATTTACTTCCTCTGGGTTGGCATGGCAACAGGAGGCATGTTTGTGTGGCAGCGAGCAGTGTCATGACCACCTTCTTCATCATCATCATCATCATCAAACAGCAGCAGATGCATTAAAAGCTGCAGAACAACAACAACAACAAAGAAAAGTGCTGCTCGGCTGGATTACGTAATGTTTCCTTCTTTAAGCTGTGGAGTTGGATTAACACGAACATGTGATGTCATCAAAGTGCTACATCTGGCTGTGAATATTTAATATAAATATATATATATATACACTGTATATTATAAATAAAACGCCAAATCTCTTTATTATCACAACTTTCAATGGTAGAAATGCAGCTGTGCATTTCACAAATTACAGGATAACTGCAGTTTATTAAAACCGGGCTTTTATTTTGGTAGTTTTGTCCGTCATTTCATAATCAGTGCTGATAACTATGAACGCTCCAATGAGCTCTGTGAACATGTGGTGTCATCTTAAAACAGACCTCTTGTTCCTCGAAGTGTATCTCTGTGTTGAAATAAAGATTAAATGAGATTTTATCTGCAGGAAACTGTTGACTACTGTCACAGAAGGAAAAACAGTACTTGGTGGTTGACCACGTGAACAGAGGAGAGGATTGTTGTTGCAGTTCAAGGACTAAACCCATCAAAGTCTTGGTCTTGTCTCAGTCTAAACCTCTCGATGTCTTGGTCTTGTCTCTGTCTAAACCCCTCAAAGTCTTGGTCTTGTCTCGGTCTAAACCCCTCAAAGTCTTGGTCTTGTCTTTAAACCCTGTTGTTTGACGTCTGTATTTCTAGTCATTGAAGTACGAGCAATTATTTTGTCCAAAATGTCTCCAACAAAGTAAGAAAATTGAAAACAAACCAATGACTTTATTGACTGAGTGTAGAATTAGTTTGCCTCCATTTTTAGTCCCTCTCTTAGTTCTTATTCCTTTTGACTGTGAGACATAGATTGCAATAAAGGTGATGTAATCCAACCAACCTCAGATTGCACAGCATTGTGGGTAAAAAGGACATCAGATAACCAGTTCCTCATGATAAGAACAGCCAACATGAAGCATGAAATCTCGGCTGTTTTTTAATTTTTTTAACCCAACCAAACAGTAACATTCAGGTCAGTAGTATAGTGGATCTGTGGGGAATCGAACCTACAACCTGACAGTGTTGGTGCCTTGCTTAGTGGTCTCTGACTGTCCTCTCTGTCTCCTCCTCCAGTGTGTAACTTCATGTGTCACGAGAAATGCCTGAAGACGCTGCGCTCAGCTTGTTCCTGCATGACTCCGTCTTTGGTCCGGGTGAGTAAAACAAACTCATGTTTATTGATCGGCTGCACCGATCACTGAGCCAGATTAACTGCTGCACCGATCAATAAACCAGATTAACTGCTGCACCGATCAATAAACCAGATTAACTGCTGCACCGATCAATAAACCAGATTAACTGCTGCACCGATCAATAAACCGGATTAACTGCTGCACCGATCAATAAACCGGATTAACTGCTGCACCGATCAATAAACCGGATTAACTGCTGCACCGATCAATAAACTGCCAACGAGCATGAGTGAGAAGTAACGGAGAGGACGGGTGATCAGACCCGAGGACTTAAGAGCTTCACACACTTTACTCAAGTACTCAACTTAAGTATTAATGCAGGGTACTTTTACTCTACTACATCTCAGAGGTACATATTGTACTTTTTACTGTACTACATCT